ATTCTGTTTTTAAAACGAATTGTGATGGACAGTGAAAAGTGGATACTGTACAATAACGTAGAATGAAAGAGATCATGGGGCAAGCAAAATGAACCACCACCACCAACTCCACCAAAGACTGGCTTTCATTCAAAGAAGGTGATGTTGTTTATATGCTGGAATTGGGAAGGAGTACTCTGGGAACCAAAGGGTTAGTTTCAACAAGTACTGCTCCCATTAGACCAACTGAAGGCAGCATTTGACAAAAAGCATCCAGAATTAGTCAACAGAAAATGGATAATCTTCCATTAGGAGACTGCAAGACCTCGTGTTTCTTTGATGACCAGGTAAAAGTTGTTATAGCTTGGCTGGGAAGTTCTGATTCACTCACTGTATTCACCAGTCATTGAACCTTCAGATTTCCATTTATTTCAGTATTTACAAAATTCCCTCAATGGGAAAACATTTAATTCCATGGAACATAGTAAGAGAGACTGGGAACAGTTCTTTGCTCAAAAAAATAAAATGTTTTGGGAAGACAGCCATAAAGTTCTTCAGTAAGGTTCTTGGTGAATTTGAATATGAAAATTGTGTGTTTTATTTTTACTTAAAAAACTGAAGGAGCTTTCTGGCCAAATCTATATCCTATATAGGCTTTCCAGGTGGTGCAGTGGTAGAGAATATGCCTGCCAATGCAGAAGACATAAGAGAAGTGGGTTGGGAAGATCCCTTGGAGGAGGAAATGTCATCCCACTCCAGAATTCTTGCTGGGAGATTCCCATGGACTGAGGAGCCTGATGGGCTACAGTCTGTGGGGTCACAAAGAATCAGACATAGCTGAGCGTCTGAGCAGCAGCAGTGTACCAGCAGTGAATAAGTAGAATTTGAAGTTAAAAACCCCATCCCCATTAGCTGTTGCTTCTTATGCCTTTATCCTCCTTCTTCTTTGGCAACCACTAGTTCAGTTTCTGTAAATATGAATTGCCAATTCCGGGCATTTCTTTAAATAAAATTATCCAATATGTGGTGTTTTTTTGACTTGACTAGCTTAGCATAATGTTTTCAAGGCTCATCCATGTTGCAACATATATCAATACTTTATTTCTTTTTTATTGCAAATAATATTCCAATATTTGGATATACCATATTTTGTTTACATATTCATATGTTGATGGACATTTGGGTTGTCTCCACTTCTTTGGTTACTATGAATAATGCTGTTATGAACATGCATGTATAAGTTTTTGTGTATACATAAGTTTCCATTTTTTCTTGGATATGTACCTAAAGGTGAAATAGTTGGGTCATCTGTTAACTCTATGTTTATCTTTTTGGGGAACTACCAAACTGTTTTCCAAAGCAGCTGCACATTTTACATCCCTACAGCAATGTATGAGTTTCCCAGTTTCTCCACTCTTGTCTGTCATTTTGATCATTGTCATGTAAAGTTTGTAAAGTGATGTCTCATTGTGATTTTGCTTTGTATTTTCTTAATGACTAATGTTGAGCATCTTTTCATGTGCTTAGTGAGAATTTATATTTCTTTCCTGAATGAAGGCTTATTCAAGTCTTTAGCCCATCTTTAAATTGAGTTATTTCTCTTTTTATCTTTGAGTTGTAAGAGTTCTTTATATATTCTGGATACTAGTCTTTTATCAGGTATTTGCTTTGCAAATATTTTCTCTCATTCTGTGAGTTGCTTTCTTAATTTAATAAAAAAAATGACATGAGTTACTTGAATTATCATCACAATCTTATTTCATTTTACAATAATTTCTTAAGGAGAGAAAAAGGTACAGAAAGCCAGAAGAGAGAAAATATTTGTGCACCTACTATGTTCCAAAAGTTTTATATATGTTATCTCATTTGATCTTCACAAAATGTCTTCAAAGCAGCCTCTTTTATCCTTATTTCACAGATTAGGAACCTGAGGCTCAAAAAGATTAAATAACATTCCAAACTCACTTGAGTTCACAAAGAGCAATGCAGATATATAATTGCCTGTTTATCAAAACTCTAAGTCTTGTGCCAGTTCTAGTCTATCTGATTATCACCTCATTATCTAAAAATTTCTAAACTTGATCAGAAAAAAAATTATTCAGATGATTACCATTTGCCGTTAATGAGAAAATTTTGTGCAATGCTTCAACTATTACCAGTGAAAGCTTCAGTATTAATGTTCATATGCATTCACTTGACATCCCCTAGACACAGCATCACAGATCTACAGTCTTGTACTGAAGTCAGCCTTTGCATTTGCATCTTATACTCCAAAGTGAGATAGAAGAGAAAAATTTGTTGATTAAAACTGTGTCCTTAGAGAATATTGCATTAAAATATGTATCAGATTCAGTCTTTTGTCACTCACTTTATTTGTACATGATCTGTGATATTATGGGTAAATGCATAAATTGATATTCATAAAAATGATAGGATTCAAACCTATATTCATGTGATTGCAACGTTGATGGATTTTTCTTCCTTTCCATTCCTTTACATCAGTGAACAATTACTTTTTTCAATACAGTTTACTTATTTGTCCTGTGTTCCATGTAATTTTAGTTGAAAAATGAGTAAAAGCAATTAAGCAAAATATTGTGCTTTTCCCAAAAGACAAGCAAATAAAAGGTGTGACTGACTTGTTTTTCTTGATTTTGTTTTTATTTCTAAACTACATTTTACAGATTGTTGTGGTCCCTACTCCTTTATGTATATATATGTTCCTCTTGAGCCTTAGTATTTGATGACTTTTTTAAAAAAAATAATGAAATGACTGACCATCCATATCAAACATTTTCTCTAGTTCCATAAGTTTTGTTTTGTTTTGTCTCTTACTTCCTTTTGGAAGACTATTTTGGAGACTGCTTTATCTATCTATATATGCATTCCCCCTAAGTAATACCATATAAACTTTCATAATAATAGCTTCCAGATATGAAGCACTTATATGTTGTATGGTTATCATAATTTATCTCTAACTCCTACTTCAGGTTTGTGTTATTGTTCCCATTAATACTGTTAGAGATTTCATGAACTAACCAAGGCCATGAGGCAGCAAGTGGTAAATTCTGATCTAGATACATCCAGATCCAAAGCCCATGAACTATGCTGTATAACATAACACAGTTTCCTTTTGGGGCATAGATTTTATCCCAAGACCTAACAGAGGGCAGGCGACAACCATAGAAATACAGCTTATGCAAAACTTCCAAGTCATCTCCTGCTATTGTCATTATCTACTGAAACAAGTACCATTTTTTTAAAAATAAATTGTTTTATTTATTATTGTCATTAGAGCTACACAATCAAAGTTGTCTTTTCACTGTCTGTCTGTGTTTTGTTAAGATGAAATTAAACAGCAATTATAAGCAAAAGTTGGTTGCCTTGGGAACAATAATTGTATATTCAGTTTAACATAAATAAAAGAATATTTGACTTATGCAATTACATTATAAAAATTTTTTAGTTTCCAAAAGTGAAAATGATGTGTTCTATTTGAGCTTAAAGGGGGAATGTTTCAGTGCAACATCACTCCTTAAAGAAAAAGAGAAGTGATCTGGGATGTTTCTCCACTGCAACACCTGTTATAGGCAGTGCTTTGATAATTAGGTACACAAATTATATCAAAATCTTTTTATAGTGTTGATTTATTTTATTATCACCACAGCAACTTAGATTTTATAGACACATGGGATGTGCATAAAAAGTAATCTTTGCATTCAAGGAGTAATTTCTATTGAAATTTAATTCAGTTAAAAGAAAAGACAGGCAATGATTTTTGTGCACCAGTCTTTCTGGGCCTCTGAACTCTCATTTGCAAAATGAAGAGATTAGACTAAATAATATCTAAGATAGATACGTAAAAAAGTGAAAATCTATCGTTAAGTCATGTCCTACTCTTTGTAACCCCATAGACAACAGTCCACCAAGGTTCTCTGTCCATGGGATTTCCCAGGCAAGAATACTGCAGTGGGTTGCCATTTCCTTCTCCAGGTGATCTTCCCAAATCAGGGACTAAACCCACATCTCCTGCTTGGCAGGCAAATTCTTTACACTGAGCCACCAGTGAAGCCCCAAATTAGACATAAACTCAAAAATTATGTGATCCCATTTAAATAAATCTATGAATGGGTTAATAGAAAGGGAAGACCTGGTCAGGGACTGTTTGCAACACAATATTCTACCTGTAACAAACCCTATAAGAGGAGGTATCCTGAAAAATAAAGAGAGCAGAGTTTAGCAAAATAAGAGAGACAGCTGTGCTGTACATGAGCAGACTGTGAAGGATGAAGGGTGTGAGGCTGAAGTTGACTGAGGGAGGCTGTGGTGGGGCTGATGAGGAGAATGCATCTATTCACAAAATACACAACAATTTTAAAGATCATTTACAGGATATTTTGCAACTGGGAACAGAATAAGACACTTAGAAATATATCTGGATATGGATGAAGTTGCTGAGAGGTAAGCAAGTTGACCCAACTATACTCGAGATGGAACTCAGAATTGATGGGTCTTATACGAAGCATAGGGTCACAGAGGCCAGGGACTGTGGTGAGGCTCAGGGAAATTGAGAAAATCAGTGGCAAGTATTAAAGGAAGATATGATCTGTCTTTCCAGTCAAAGACTTGAAATTTGAAAATATTCAATTATAAAGTTTTAATACAAAATGACAAAAAAAAATAGCAATAAAATGATTTCATACTGAATGGAGGAAAATGGTTATGGACAAAGAAATCCTTTGTCATGAAGAGACTAGTAATAAAAGTTGTTTCATAGAGGCTACACCAATAGTTACCAATAGAGCATTTGTTGCCTCACAAGCCATAAATTAGATAATGTTACTATTTTACAGATGACAAAGCTGCAGTTCTCAGACTATAGAGCAACCCCCAAAGTCACAGTTAATAATTTGCAAAAGGTAAATTTAATTCCACATCTAGGTGACTCCAGAGCATGTTTACCAACACTGGATAACTACTTCTCATTCACAGCCAAATGGGAGTTTTTTAAAGTTACATACCTGGCTTTCAGCTTGAGCTCCTCCACACACAATGAATCTCTTCCTTCTCAATCTCAAGATATTATCGTTAGCCTGTATTTAACGCTGAATAAGAATACAAGAGAATTCAGAAAGAGAAAGACAAATACCATACAACATCCTTATCTGTAGAATCTAAAATATGACACAAATGAACTTACCTATGAAACAGAAACACACAGGCATAGAGAATAGACTTGAGGTTGCCAAGGGGCTGGGAGGGAAAGGAGGGGTGGACTGAGAGTTTGAGGTTTGCAGGTGCAAGCTCCTATGGATACAATGGATAAACACCTAGGCCCTACTTCACAGCACAGGGAACTATATTCAATACCCTGTCATAAACCAGAATGGAAAGGAATATAAGAAGAATATATATGTGTAACAGACTTCTTGCTCAGTCGTGTCCGACTGTTTGCGACCCATGGACTGTAGCCCACCAGGCTCCTCCATCCATGAAATATTCTAGGCAAGAGTACTGAAGTGGGTTGCCATTTCCTTCTCCAGGGCATCTTCCTGATCCAAGGATCAAACCTGGGTCTCCCGCACTGCGGGCAGATGCTTTACTGTCTGAGTCACTGGGGAATCTATAAAAAAACTGAATCACTTTGTTGTATACCAGAACCTACCACAAGATTGTAAATCAACTCAACTTCAGTAAAATAAATTGAAAAAACAAGAGTACAAAAGAATTTTGAAGAAGATGAAATATTTTTCAAGCAAATATCATCTTCCCTTTTATTTCTTTAGGGAAAATTGCACCTGAACATAATTAAATAATGTTTTAAAACTTTAAAAGTCACATCTCAAAATTAGAATTTATAATAGCCATGATTAATACTCTAAATATGTCAGTATAAATAGAGTGCATTAGGAAAAAATCACCCAAATAAGAAAAATAGTAGGAAAATAAAATAAGCTAAAATTCCAGTAGCTGTATAATAGGGTTCACTTAATACACAATTGCACTCATCTCACATGCTAGTAAAGTAATGCTTAAAATTCTCCAAGCCAGGCTTCAGCAATACATGAACTGTGAACTTCCAGATGTTCAAGCTGGTTTCAGAAAAGGCAGAGGAACCAGAGATCAAATTGCCAACATCTGCTGGATCATCAGAAAAGCAAGAGAGTTCCAGAAAAACATCTATTTCTGCTTTATTGACTATACCAAAGCCTTTGACTGGGTGGATCACAATAAATTGTGGAAAATTCTGAGTGGGAATACCAGACCACCTGATCTGCCTCTTGAGAAACTTATACGCAGGTTAGGAAGCAACAGTTAGAACCGGACATGGAANTGAAGCTGAAACTCCAGTACTTTGGCCACTTCATGTGAAGAGTTGACTCATTGGAAAAGACCCTGATGCTGGGAGGGATTGGGGGCAGGAGGAGAAGGGGACGACAGAGGATGAGATCCCTGGATGGCATCACCGACTCGACGGGCATGATTTTGAGTAAACTCCGGGAGTTGGTGATGGACAGGGAGGCCTGGCATGCTGCTATCATGGGGTCACAAAGAGTTGGACACGACTGAGTGACTGAACTGAACTGAATAGTTCTATTCACAATTTTCCTTTTGAGGAAATCACAAAGTTGGAGCTTTGAAAATATTTCAATTACATTTGGTTTCTAAGTCATCTTAATGCTTCTTTTATTTATTTTTTACGCTTCCTGTAGTTTAGACATAATATTCTTTTGCCAGATAGCTTTACCTGAACAGTTTGACACAGTAGTAGTCTTGGCTGGAGACTGGGTAAGGAAGAAACAGCAGGCTATGAAGTTAAGAATTTATATCTAACCTTTGTTTAGCAGAATACACTCATCTCACTATCAGTTTATCTGAGGAGCAAAAGACTGGATCTCAGAAGAAGATAGTAGCAGTTCAATACCATTCAAATGACATTTAATGAGTAGTCCCAATTATGCCAGGTTTTTTTTTTTCTTCAGCTTTTTCCATTTATTTGTATTAGTTGGAGGCTAATTACTTTACATCATTACAGTAGTTTTTGTCATACATTGAAATGAAGGAAGATGCTGGCAATAAAACAAGACTGTCCTTATTCTTAACAGGCATTGAATTTGTGAGAGACATACCCAGAAATATATCTTTTTAACATGTAACAGATGGTGCGCATAAACCCAGATGTATTGTCATGGTTTTCTGGGAAGTACTTAGGTTAAAACTGAAGGAAGCTTCTTGAAGACACTTGAACCAAGCCTCAAAAGTGAGTTAGAGCAATAGCAGCATAAATCTGTCTACTGTGTGCCAGGAAGAATCACAAAGAATCTTCACTTGGCCAGGCTGTAGAGCATACAGCAAAATTATCAGGTACTTTTTGCTTCTTTTGCATATGCTAGGCATAATTTATTCACTTGAAAAAAGCTATCTTTATTTAACAATAAGAAGAATTATTTTAGTGGAGAAAGGAGTTAACATTAATCAAAAGACAAATCTAAATGAAGCCTAAGCTGTTTTTCACAGTACTGGAAAAATAACATATCCAAGAATCCTGTTTCTTTTGAATGTGCTAGTTCCGAGTCCAGTCATAGATGTGATGCTTCTTCCTTGGATACAGCTATCATCATGTGAGCAGCACTAGAACAGTGGTGGAGGATGAACTAAGTCTGAAGATCTAATACATAATGTGGTGACTATAACTGAGAACACTGTAGTGAATAGTTAAACTTTGCTAAGAAAGAGGAGGTGATGGAATTGCAGCTGAGCGATTTCAAGTCTTAAAAGATGATGCTGTTAAAGCACTGCACTCAACAGGCCAGCAAATTGGGAAAACTCAGCAGTGGCCACAGGACTGGAAAACATGAGTTTTCATTCCAGTCCCAAATAAGGCAATACCAAATAATGTTCAAACTACCACACAATTGCCTTCATCTCACAAACTAGCGAAGTAATGCTCAAAATTCTCCAAGTGAGGCTTCAACAGTAGGTGAATTGAAAATTTTCAGATGTTCAAGCTGGATTTAGAAAAGGCAGAGGAACCAGAGATTCAAACAAATTGCCAACAAATTCCAACAAATTGCCAACACCTGTTGGATTATAGGAAAAGCAAGAGAGTTCCAGAAAAACATCTACTTCTGTTTTATTGACTACGCCAAAGCCTTTGACTGGGTGGATCACAACAAATTGTGGAAAATTCTTAAAGAGATGGGAATACCAGACCACCAGATCTGCCTCCTGAGAAATCTGTATGCAGGTCAAGAAGCAGTAGTTAGAACTGGACATGAAACAATGGACTGATTCCAATTTGGGAAAGGAGTACATTGAGGTTGTGTACTGTCACCCTGTTTATTTAACTTATATGCAGAGTATGTAATGAGAAATGCTGGGCTGGATGAAGCAAAAGTTGGAATCAAGATTTCTGGGAGAAATGTCAACCTCAGTTATGCACATAACACCACTCTTATGGCAGACAGTGATGAAGAACTAAAGAGCTTCTTGATGAAAGTGAAAGTGGAGAGGGGAAAAGCTGGCTTAAAATTCAACATTCAAAAAACTAACCTCATGGCATCGATTCCCATCACCTCCTGGCAAATAGATAGGAAAACAATGAAAACAAGGACAGACTTTGTTTACTTGGGCTCCAAAATCACTGCAGATGGTGACTGCAGCTATGAAATTAAAATATGCTTGTTCCTTGGAAGAAAAGCTATGACAAACCTAAACAGCATATTAAAAAGCAGAGACATTACTTCGCCAACAATGGCCCATCAAAGCTATGGTTTTTCCAGTAGTCATGTATGGAGGTGAGAGTTGGACCATCAAGAAAGCTGAGCACTAAAAAATTGATTCTTTTGAACTGTGGTGTTCGAGGAAACTCTTGAGAGTCACTTGGACAGCAAGGATATCAAACCAATCAATTATAAAGGAAATTAATCCCGAATATTCATTGGAAGGACTGATGCTGAAGTTGAAGCTGACGCTCCAATACTTTGGCCACCTGATGCAAAGAATTGACTCATTGGAAAATACCCTGATGCTGGAAAAGATTGAGAGCAGGAGATGGGGATGACAGAGGATGAGATGGTTGGATGGCATCACTGACTTGATGAACATGAGTTTGAGCAAGCCTCAGGAGATGGTGAAGGACAGGGAAGCCTGGCGTGCTATAGTCCATGTGGCCACAAAGAGTCGGACACAACTGAGTGACTGAACTGAACTGAAGAAAGTGGAACTTAAGTGTTCTGACAAGAAAAAAGAAGAAAGTTAAATATGGGAGGTGATGGACGTGTAAGTTAATTTTATGGGGGATCTTTTCACAATGTGTATATATATCAAATCATCACATTGTACCATTTAAATATCTTAAACTTTGTCAACTATACCTCAGTAAAACTGGGGGGTGGGTGGGTAGGGGACCCAAAGTGCTGATATCAAGATATTATATTAAAAATACTGTTAAGAACAGGGAAAACTTCTATAGAAAGATGGGCAAAATATTTAAACTTTACAAAAAAGAAAATTTAATTATTATTAAATAAATGAGGTATTCAGTGCCATTAGTAGTCAGGAAAATGTGAGTGAAAAGTACAATAGAATATCATTACACATCCATAAGATTGGCTAATACGGGAATGGTGTGAGTTGTATACACTGCTGGCAGGACTGGAAATGGGTACAGCCACTTTGGAAAACTATTTGAGATTAGCTAATAAAGTTGAAAAACTGCATATTTGACCATCTTACAATTTTAGACTTCAGATNAAAAACTGCATATTTGACCATCTTACAATTTTAGACTTCAGATAGAACGCTTGTGCATGTGGAGCAGAATACATTAGGTGTAAAAAGTGTCTGTAGCATCATTGCCCTTTAATTATCCAAACTAAAAGCAAACTGAATGTCCAGTTAGAATGAATAATCTTAATATATTCATAGATCAGGACATTTTCTAGCAACAAAACTAAATATGGTCTGTCTCCATTCCGAGTCTTTCACAGGTAATACTGAATAAATGAAACTATTGTAGACAAGAAATCATACCTTTTGTATGGTTTCATCCGTATGAATATCAAAAAAACACAAAGTTAAACTACATTTTTAGGGCTGCACATATATTTGGGAAAACTATAAAACCAGGGCAATGGTTCTCAAATGGGCAGGAAAGCAGCAGGCTCTGGAGAGGTACACAGTGACAGGGTGCAGAGTCCTTGGAGGCAGCACATTTCCTCATTCCGAGTGTCATCATTATAGTTATTCCTGATGCTTCTCAATTACAATTTCTATGGCGCACTTATGCTATATGTGTGTTCTATTTCACAATTTTGAAAAGACTTTCAAAAGACTGCTTAAGAAGAAATACCTCACACAAATGTCATCAAATTGAGCATAATAAGAATTTGGGATTAGGAATTGATAAGGAGAGAGCCTGTACTTGATTTACAGCTGAAATTGTATACATATGTATAATTGTTAGCACCCATCAACAGCCTTACCTTTGTACTGCATGTAGTGGGATGTCATTGGGGATTCTGGAGCTGCTTTTTTTCAGCTAAAATACAAATTTCAGACAATAATCTCTAGAAATCAGAGAATGACAGTCAAGCATTGCTGCTGCTGAAAGTAACAATGAGGCACCCACTGGCAAGACCAGGGGAGCAAGATTTTAATTAATGAGCATGTTTATCTAGATATGAATGATACTGCCACACTTCCTGTGTCCAGAGTCTCTTATTAATATTTCTATGGGTAGTATATTTTTCTTCCAAGACCTCTCCTTTCTTTTTTTGTTGTCTTGGGTATTTAGAAAAGGATTGTGATTTACTTTATGGCTGATTCTTACATGAATCTTTTCATAAGAATCTGATAAAAAAGAATCAATCGATGGATTCTTATTAAAATGTAAAATATAAAAAACTATGGGCAACATGGCAACAGATTTGGTCATAAAACCAGGAGCACACAGTGTTAGGACTAAAGCATATTTACACATTAAATGAGAACATTATGAACGCACACTGAAAATAGAGCAATCATGACAATGTAAATGGAAACCACCCCTTATCTAATTTGACACTTACAAAATCCTTCACCCTTTACCATCTGGGAAAACAGAAAAGAACAAATTGCAAACAAATAGGCGTGCTATTTCCCGCATGTTTAGGTTTTTTGTTTTACCAAGAGATGTACTATTCCCTTTCTAGTTCAGATTCATGGGTTGTGGTCCTAAGAAACTAAACAGAAAATGATGACTTTTCTAAAATGAGAGCAGTTTTTAGCTCTTTAACTGAGTGTAGCAGCCAACATCCATTTGTCATTTGACATCTGTCAAGTGTCTTACATATATTATTTCCTTTAATCCTCACAAAATTTTATAAGATGAGCAACACTACGCTCCCCACTTTATCAGGAAAGAAACTGAGATTTAGAGATATTGAGTGTTTGGCACAAGGCAAGCCAATGCTCAGGGAAGCTGGAAGCTAATCCCAGAAGCCTGATTCCAGAGGCCACACTTTAAAGGTCATCACTGGGACAGTGCCCCGACAGCATCCTTAACAGCCTCAAGAAATGATGGCAGGTTTTAGAAGCACAAAATTTACTCAGAAGTTTATCCATGGAGAGTTTAGCATAGGCGATAAAGAATCAGAAACAGTTCTAGAAGTTTGCATTAACAGACTTTCCTTTGTAAACGCATCAAAAGCTTTGTGTTGCCTTGTCTGTGACCNCCCCCGGCTATGTTCCCACATCTCGCTGTCACTGCACTTCTCACGTTATCTGGTCACATGATTATCTTTTACCTGTGTCTACTCGATCTTGAGAACAATTAAAGGAAGGAACTTTAAATTCTTATGTCCTCAGTACCTCACACAAGATCTGGAATATAGCAGACATGATAAGTAGTTCTAGAATCCAGCATTAAGCAATAATACACAGTAAATCCCCCATGCACAAATGATATTCATTCCAAGAGGGTGTTTGTTAAGTCCAACAAAGTTTGCTTAGGTATCCAACTGACACAGTCAGCTATATAAAACTGTATTGTCATAGGTTCATAAAACTTTTCACACAATAATAATAAAAAGCAAACCAAAAAATTAAAGAAAATATATTTAATGCTACAGTACAGTACCCTGATGAGTACAGTAGTACAATACAATAGTGGGCACATTGGGGCTGGCCCCCAGTGAACAGGCAAGAGCAGTTACTGACTGGAGGAGGTGGGAAATGGTAGAGCTGAAAGACCATCAACAATAGATGGAGGGCAAGCCGCAATTTTGCTCATGCCTGAAGCTGATGGGACACACATTTGCATCTTCAACAGCTTGCAACTTGAATGTTCATATGTAGAGGACTTACATTTGTTAAGCGCTATCGTGTGTCAGGTGCTATAAGGGATCATTCTTGTGTGTTATCTCATGTATTTCTCACAGAATTTAACAGGGTGAAATTCTTGTATTAGCCTTATCTTTAAGCAGTTAATTATAGGCTTAGATTTAACTATGAATAACTTGCTCAGGATCATATAGGTGATAAAAGTGAAGCCAGAATCCAGACTCAGAGCTGTCTAATTCTGGAGCCTTCCCTCTCAAACCCTGAACTGTCCTATTCTCATGTCTTAAAGTCAGTAGTATTTATTAGAAAAAAGTTAGTCATGCTCGTTACGTTCTCCGTTTTGTATGAGTTTATGGTAATCTTCTGGCTTCCCTTCCGACTCAGCTGGTAAAAAATCCACCTGCAATGCGGGAGACCTGGGTTCCATCACTGGGTTGGGAAGATACCCTGGAGATAGGAAAGGCTACCCACTCCAGTATTCTGGCCTGGAGAATTCCATGGAATGTATAGTCCATGAGGTCACAAAGAGTCAGATGCGAATGAGTGACTTTCACTTTCACTTTCATGCTAATCTTCATTCTGAAGGTAAGTATGTAAAATATGCCTCTTGAAATATCTTTAATTTCCTGAATGGATGATTCCTTAAGAGTTAGACTCTTCAACCTGGTTGTAACCATCTTTTGTAATGGCATGTAGAAAGAAATTAGTGACGCTTCTTTCTAGAGGACAAAGATTGAAGAGCTGGTTGGTGAATGCACATCCCTGCTGACTGCACGTTAGATATCCAAATGCAGTGGCACTGGATGACAGAAAACACAAATTATTCTTCTGAAATTCGATGCTTCACTTTTAGTAGTTCTGATTGTCCTCAAATACAATTTCAGCTTATTTAAAGAAACAAAGAATCATTCAAAGCACACTCTAATTTTTTTAAAAAATAATACTACAGTTTGAGGAAAGAAGAAAATCTTCCCCATTAATCATCTGGAATATGATAAAACATTGAGAGGTCTGGTTTCATCTAAGACTGACCATATTTATTCAAGTTAATTTTTTCTATACAGTATGCTTTCTACTTTTTGTTAATGAGAAATTTAAGGAACATTATAAGAGCTGTGAGAACAATTTCACACTTCAAGTAAGAGCTTGGGGAAAACATCAAACCATGTATTTGAAATAGATACAAAAAAAGAAATCACTTGTCCTGGAACTTTTTCAAACTTCGGTCACAATAGTATGAAATTTTGAGAAATACAAAATAATTTTCTCTAAAGTGATACAATTCAAAAAACAATCCAAAGGAAATGTTCTCCAAGAATTGTATATCCATAGCAATTTATGGATTCTGAGGTGCAATTATTCCTGCAAATAAAACCAATGAAACTGTAAGGCTGTCAAACTACTAGGCCAAGATTTAATAAGAACTGCTGTTGTTTTTCCTTCCATTCTCCTTTATACTTCCCATTCAAACGACTGCAAGAAAATAGAACAAAATTAAAGAGAGTCCTCAATTAGGAAGGATTAAATTAGGCAGGCAGAAAATTAAACCGTGTACACTGGGAGGTGGTGAATCGCCTACGATTGGGATACTGAAGCAGAGCGCCAGCCCCCAAGGACCAGGCCGTCAGGACAGGTGATGGTTACAGCCTTTTCCCAATCTATAGGTCTGTTTCTCATTCGCGCTCCTGGTTTGTGCCCTCCCTGTAGGAGATCCTCCTACCCTCCCTTGACTTTGTCTTTTAAAGGGCGGAATCTACTCTCGGGTCTTTGACTCCTTCTGGCCAGAAATCTCTCTGCTGGGTCCAGGAGCAACTCTGTCCAGAGGCAGTTTGACATAGAGCAGAGGATAAAGCCATCTTTGTACTTGTCCAGAGTTGGCCTACCCTGGTCTTTCTTCAGTCCTGATCCAGCTCTCTATTTATAGATGCAGCTGGTGAAAGTTGGGCTGGCATCCAAACCAAAGTCTGTCTCCAAACCTCATGTTTCTATTGCACCACACGTCAGCAATTATCCTAGATTTTCAGCAATCAGCAGCAGAATTTTAATTTATTTCTCCTGTCTCGGCATAGCTCAAAGCCTGAGGGGTACAAAGGTACAAAAGCCATGGCCAAGCCAGACTGTTATAGCCCAGAAGATTCTCTGATGCATCATCCAAGTTACCATGGATGCCCAAAAGTATCAGCTGTATCCTTTCAAAGAAATGAAACCGCATTCCTGCTGATAATATCCTGCACTATGGAATGCTGGCTGTGGAACTGAATTTGCATGCATCACCTGAATTGAAGACTCACAGAATTATTGAATTAAACAGAGAAAGTATCTTGGAAGATCTTGTACTTACAATTTACACTTTAAAGATGGAGACATGGAGGCTCAGCAGAGTCTGAGTTGGGTTGAGCTTGAGTTGGGTTTAGGGCTGCCGTGGGCCCTTCCTGCAATGTTATCCTTCACTCTAGGCTGTGGAGGGTTAGTAACCCTCTTTGTGTTGACAGGAACTGAGGCACCCCTTTTCCCAATGATAACAATAAGATGAATTTTCACAAAATCAGGGGTTACAGAGGAGAGTGCTCCAAGCAATCCTGAAGCAGATAAGATCACAGAGCACCTGCAGGAAAAAAAGAATTGTAAATTGAGATTATGTAGAATTTGGAACACCTGTTCTGACTTTAGGACTAGTTCTACCATTTAAAAAATGTTTTAATGGAATTTCTAAATACTTTGCAGTAACTTTACCTATAAAAATAGGAGAAAATCTGACTGTTGGACAAATAAGGATATAACTTAGCTAGTGCTAAAAATACCTTCAGTTCAGTTCAGTTGCTCAGTTGTGTCTGACTCTTTGTACCCCATGAATCACAGCACGCCAGGCCTCCCTGTCCATCACCAACCCCCGGAGTTTACTCAAACTCATGCCCATCAAGTCGGTGATGCCATCCAGCCATCTCATCCTCTGTTGTCCCCTTCTCCTCCTGCCCTCAATCAGCATCAGGGTCTTTTCCAATGAGTCAACTCTTTGCATGAGGTGGCCAAAGTATTGGAGTTTGTGGCTTAGCTGGTAAAGAATCCACCTGCAATGTGGGAGACCTGGGTTCGATTCCTGGGTTGGGAAGATCCCCTGGAGAAGGGAAAGGCTACCCACTCCAGCCCTCAATCAACATAGACAGTCTTTAAATGAATCAGTACACATGTTTTGAATGAATAATATCAGGCAAAGCAAAAGATCAACCCAATGTGGATGTTTAGGTACATAAATGGTAAAAAAAAAATGGCCTGAATTAATGAAAAAATATTTCTGACATATATTTAATTCACTTGTTTATGAAGTTTATATTGGAAATGAGTCAACATTGGATTCCTGATAGTGCTAAAAAAAAAATAAGCACGTAGCAGCAGTGGCTCAGAGGTTAAAGGGTCTGCCTGCAATGCAGGAGACCTGGGTTCGATCCCTGGGTTGGGAAGATCCCCTGGAGAAGGAAATGGCAGCCCACTCCAGTATTCTTGCCCGGAAAATCCCGTGGACGGAGGAGCCTGGTGGGCTACAGTACACGGTGTTGCAAAGAGTCGGACACGACTGAGCAACTTCACTTTCACTATGTTGATTGAATCATTTTGAGTGCTATAGAATGTGAGTAAAAATTTTTTCTTAATTGAAAAGGCAAAAGGCCTGATTTAAGAAATTTATAATTTTATAAAATCTAGCCTAAATAGATCATGATCCTTATGTCAAATCCATAATGTTCATTTATTTAAGGACATTAGTATGTGCTTCTCATGGAACACTGGAGTTGGAAAAGACTATAAGAATTATCCAATTCATGCACCATACTAATAGATGACTGACTGAAGAGTGAATGATTTGCTCACTAAGGCCATCTTTATCATTGTAAGCAATTCATAACCAGATTTGTTTTGACTGAGTTCAGAACTCAGTTCCACGTCTCACAGTCATGTGACTTTATTCTCTCTGTGCTTCAGTGTCTGTAGCAAGAGGATCCTGACCGTGCAATTGTCAAGATTTTTCTGAGATATAATTATATTATAATTTTTTATTCTAAATATGCTAGATTTTAGATGAGATGATTTTATACTTGAAAGTCTAGATATTCTTGGTTTATCAGTATTTCCCTGATGTGTCTTTTCTATGTTAGGAAACATTATTTAACATATTGTAACCAAACAGGACTCTATGAGGGTTTCCTGGGACAGGACTCCCAAACTATGTCCGTTGCCTGCCTCTTATCTGAAGAAAAACTTTAGCCTTCTGGGCCTTCCCTGAGTTCCAAACAGTGAATTTAATCAGAGAAGTGAGACAAGGTAGAAAGAAAGGAAAATAGTAAAGCAAAATAAAATTATAATGGTTTAACCATTAAACAAAGTCTTTAGTTCTTCCTCAAGGGCTGTAGATAATATTCTGGGCCGTGTCCTTTGAGCTGTTTTGTAGATACTGAAACTCCCACCAGATGTAAGTTAACTATATGCTGACCACAAGCACACGGACAGACTCCAGACTGGTTTGAACCAGAAGGGTTGATGGTGGTGACTCCCAGTTACCTAACCAACAGACGATTAGAAGAATGTCCATGAGCTGATCACATACTCCACAGTCATCTTCCCTCACTGTCCTTAAAAACCTTTCCCTGAAAACCTTCAGGGAATTTAGCTTTATAAACACTAACACTGCCCCAGACTCCTTGCTTAGCACCTGCACCTTGCTTAGTTGCACTTTCATTCACCACAACCTCGGTCAGTAGATTGGCTTTACACGTGGGCAAGTGGACCAAAGTTTGGCCTGGTAACAATAGGACACACCATTAACTCAAAATGGCATGTGTGTTGCAGTATTCATTGCTACAGCAGACACCCTGCTTCTATGTCTAGCATTCTCTCAGAAGCAATCTTCTCCTTGCTTTGGAGTGAGTTCATAACTTTTCCACAGAATTTTTATCCCCTCCAAGAGCTTCTAAAGTTCTTGCCCACCTGGAGGGGAAGGGCCCAAACCAGCTCCAGCCATTGCCCTTCTGAGGGTTCCAGTTAGCAGCTGTACTCAGGTAGCAGGAGAGTTGGCAGAGTCATCTCCACACTATAATCCTCATAGAATCTCCTAGTGATTTTGAAGAAGTGGGGAGGAAATTATTAATTCTTCAAATCCACTTTTCCTCTAGAAGACAGGAATTTAATCCTTACTCATCCAGTTGCTTAGAGGTCACACCTGACTCTTATTTTTTTCTCATCATATTTCAAATTCATCCTTATAGTCTATTACTTTACCTTTGTAAATCATCTCAAAGCTTGCACTTTACCTTTCTGTCGTTGTCTCTCTTCACCACTTTGTTGGGGCACCAGCCTTCGGGCAAGTTTTCCAGATTCTTTGTTGCTCTGGAATCTTCAATTTGTTTTCCACATAAGAGCTTGTGA